AGAGAGAGAGAGAGAGAGAGAGAGACAGACAGACAGACAGACAGACAGACAGACAGACAGAGACAGACAGAGACAGACAGAGACAGACAGAGAGACAGAGAGACAGAGAGAGACAGAGAGAGAGACAGAGAGACAGAGAGAGACAGAGAGAGAGAGAGAGAGAGAGAGAGAGACAGTGGGAGTGCCCATGGTCCTGGCAGATGGATGTGTGGGTCTCTATGACTTTGTTTTTTTCTTGACTAGATATTGGCATCAAGCAAGGTTTGAGCCTCCTTAAGCCTTAAAATAGCTACTAGACAAACTAGATTTGCTCGTATTAGGTAGATATTGAAAACATAAGGAACCTTTCACAAAGGGAAAAACTGAGGTTCCAAGGTGTTGGACTGAACAGGGTTCTCCACTACACCCAGACCTGGACTGAACTCTCCAGGACTACCCTGAAGCATGCTGGGTGGAGATGAAGACCCCAGGGTTGCATCTCCTGGAAGGGCTTAAGTGTCCTCTCTAAAGGTAGCATGTTTCCAGCTTTGCCTCAAGATATATGACTAAGTACAATCCCTTTGGAGGATCCCGCACATTTTTGTCTGACTAATTTGACCATTACCTTCCCTCCTTCAGCTTTTATCAGTAGCCTGTCTGTACTTTATGACTCAGTGCCTTCCAGAGGAATCCCCATTGCTGCTGAACAATGCCTCCAGCCAGCGCCTGCTGGGGGAGTTATCACTTCACTGATACCATGGTTTTGAAAGGAAACCCCAGGCCTGGTGTGTGTTATAGTTCTAAAAGGCGGAAAGAGGACAAGATAATTTCCACATTGCAAAGGGGATGGAGTCGGCATTACTCAAGAGGTCTTGTGGGTGGTATTTGTTTTAATAAGAAACTTATTATGTGCTGGGGGACTAGGGCACTGGGGGTGGGAAAGGGGGAAAGGGAAGTCACCAGAGTGTTGCACAATAACACACTGGCACCTTGGGAATACTTCCGGATGTGTGGGCTTCTGAAAAGTGAAGGGGAATGCCCCCGTAAATCTGTCACCCACCCTCACACTGCTGTTACTGGTCCAGGGAAAACTGTCCTTCTAAATGGTCTGCAATGACAAGGGTGGCAAAGAAAGACAGCAGAGGGGGAGGAGGAGGGGGAGGAGGAAGGGGAGGAGGAGGAGGAGGAGGTGGAGGATAATGATGACAAGAACTAAGAGGAGGACAGGAGGTGATGGAAGAGGGAAAATCAGAAATGAAAAGCACCAGGAAGAAAGGAAGGAAGGAACGAAGGAAGGAGGGAGGGAGGGAGGGAGCAAGGAAGGAAGGAAGAAAGGAAAACCATTAGAGGGTAGAGTTCCAGAGTAGAAAGAGCAGGGGCCTTTCTTCAGTCTGGAGGTAGGACCATTGGACCATACCTCTGTGACATAGGTTCAGATGAGACAACATGAAAAATCTCGTATCTCACATCTGAAATAAGAGCCACACAAAGGGTATATTAAATAAAACTGCATAATATAGGGCTACCCCATCCAGTGTTGGGGTGCTCCCATAAAGTACCGCTGTCGCTGATAAGTCTTCCACAATACCCCACCTCCCCACATTCACACAAGAGAGGGAAGCCTCTTCAAGAAATGCTACTAAATTTCTTCCTGTCTTGTGAGGATATTTTTTTCCAGTTAATATTTTAAGGTATAATCAACAGAAACAAACTTTGGTTAGCTTAGGCAAAAATAAACAAGCTTTTTGAAAGGTCCAATACCTGATGGAGGACTTTTTAGAGGCCTGGAGGCTAGGAATTGCATGCCCTAAAGGTCACCTTCAGGCAGAAGATCTGACCCTGGGACTAGCCTTGGGAAGAACCAGTACACCTGTTCCTATGTCTCCTCAGCTGTGATGCTAGATGTGGTCTCCAGTACTTTGGATACGGTAGTTTCCTGCATTCTCATCACAATGGATTCCCTAGTGGCTTCCGAATCCATGTTGTGGATTGGTTATCTGTTGGGGTACAAGGTAAATCTAGGCTGTGAGACCCACCTGGAGCTGCCTAGTGACTTAGGAAAGCAGCTTAAATATTCAACTCTTCCAATGAGGATTGGGCTTTCCCTCATTGGGAAAATGACTCTGATTCATCAAATCTAGAAGGAGGACATTTAGGGCTCTCTGCCACATATGAGCCCTAGATCTTGCACATTTTCTGGATGAGAATACCCAGTCTGAGTCAGCATCGTATATCCAGGCTGTGGTGTGAACCCATTTTCACAGAGGCCTATTTTCTTGATCACTGTTCTTGACACACAATGATGAGTGTCATTCAGTAAAGCCCTCCCTAACACTCAAGTCTTACATCTCTGAGTCATTAAAGCATGCAAATTTCCCTGTTTATACTTGAGCTGTTTTTCTTAAAAGAAAGTTTTTCAGACTCAAGCTTTGGAGTATGTGTTGGAATACAGTCTCTGGGATCCGGTATCTTAGGATGTGTTCCATTTTGCCTGGAATGCCTGTGTCTCTGTTAATTGTCTATCATGGAATACTAAAAGACCAGTCAGGTGTACAGTTGATGTCTTTGCTCTAACACAGACATCACCCAATATACAAGTGAAAGAGAAAGACTTCCTTTGATACTATCTATGTATTCCATTCCATTAAGTTATTATACAAATTACTTCATAAAAATAAAGTTCCCACTAACCTCCAAAGCTCTGTAGCTGAGGACTGATGAGTGAACTTCCCATAGTAACTACACAGTCAGACTCTACTTTTAAATACAGCTCAGCCCTGTATGTTTATCTTCTACATCAAGCCTTTCTGAGAATACATATAAAAGATGGTCATCAAATACTACCCTCAACAGAACACCTAGAACCTAGTAAAGAATGAATTTGTAAGATGGACTCAGGAGGAATCAGGACTCATCTTCTTGACAATACCCTGTCCTTCATTTTCTTTAGTGAAAGGAGAAGGAAAAGTGAAGCCCAATCAGTCAAGGAAATCTGATTCCAGACTCACCACTTAGTGCTATTTCTAGAAGGGTCTCTCAGTCCTACATAAAAATTCAGTTCATTTTCTGGTAAGTGGTAAATACCATCCTCCTTTCCATCCACTCTCTGTACCAGGCTCTGGCAACAAAAACAGTCAATACCTCTGACCAGCAAGTGAAAATTTTTGTAGCCAAAGGGACAGATAATAATTTGAGTTCTCTGGGGCATGGAATCTTTCTTTCACTCAACTCTGATGCTCCCGGGAAGTTTTCAGACGAAGGAACAAGAGAGTGGATGTAGTTCCTCAAATACTAGTTCGGGTCTGTGGACTGAAAGCATCTTTCCCGTCATTGTGTACTGCTGAGTAGTGCTGAAGCACAGTACAGGAATGTTGACCCCAAGCATCTATTTTAGGTGGTCCATGCTGAACATCCCATGTATTCTAGAACCTACTTTCTTCCAAGCAGTTCTAAAGTGACATACTGCATTCACATAAGTAAAACAGATAAGCATTTTTGGTCATAGATTGGGATCAGTGATGGTTGGCCAAGGCCAACCTTGGTTCAAGCAAAATTAACAATTATGAAGAATTCAACACACACACTGGAATCTGTACAGTAGAAGGACATATTCTCGGGGATCTCCTCACCTAATCATTTCCATTCAGAAGAAAGGGATTTAGGTCCAAACTGGTCAACATTATGGAAGTCCTTAGCATCCGATTTAAAGCTTTGCTCTTGATTTTAATTAATGTTTCCTGCTGTCACCCCACTAGGCTAGTCTGCAATCAAGCTTTCACAATGGGCTACACTCAACTCTCAATCTGGGAGAAAGTCTTCTGCAATTAAAAAAAACAAGGCAAAGTTCTGCCTAAAAATCAGTCAAGCCCTTCCATAGTCTGTCTTCCCTTTTCTAACTGCACTCATTTGCATAGAATCTCCATTGTGCTTCTCGGCTTCTGCTTGGTGCAGGAGATGCAGAGCAGATGCACTCAGAACAGGATCCACAGCAAACGATGTCTTTCTTTCACCCTCAGTCTACTAGGAGAAAGACCGTCGAAGCCCAGCACTTTAATGCACTGCAGATGCAAAGACCCGATGACATGTCTTTCCCCACAGTCCTCCAGGAAAACGGCCTTTCAGTGAGAAATCTTCCCACCGTGGTTTTCATCCCCTCTGTAGCTGCCTAGTCCCTTTTCAGATAGTGCACCTCTGTCCTTTGTACTTTCAAATGAATTGTGATTAGTTTTCACCTCCAGCCCAAGGGATTAGCCAGAGGACCTTTGATCTTCAGGTATCGATTTGCATCTTAAAGGAAGCATGATCTCATCTGGGCCAGCTCAAAATTCCATCCCTGCCCCCACCCTCTGTCTGTTTACCAGCCCTGGGGCTGGACAGGGCCTCCCAAGTGGGGTTGAAACAACAAGATAGGCCAGACTCCTTGAGAAGGCAGAGGAAAACACATTTCCCACTGGACTTGGTAAAGGTGGGAAAAGGAGGTTTGCTTTCTAAGCACGGACTGGTCTGTTGTTTACCCTGTATTGCAGATCCCAGAGACTGTGCAGCTTGAATCTGAAGCAGAGGCCCAGGCAGCAGGTAGATTGCCCCAGCTGGATGAAGGGTGTGTAGAATAGGGTGAGCAGAGACTTGAGCGCCACACACAACCAAGGTTAAGTCAAACCCTCTTCAGCCGCTGCAGATCAGTGGGATTCAGAAGCCAGTTTGTAATCGCCTGGACTTCTGATTTTTCCCACCTCTACATAATAAAAGACTTACTATAACAATAGCCATCTTGGACAGTTGGTGTGAAGGAAATCAACAAAATTTGCAAGGTAAAGTGTAATAAAAACTGTCACCTGCCATTGTCATCCTCTCTGAGGACATGAGTTCCGTCTTACTTTTTTCCCCCTTCTTTGTGTCTTAGTGCTTATGACAGTGTGGGTCACATAGGAGATACTTGATAAATGTGAACAAAAATGAGTGAATTTTATTTCATCATAATAGTTACCATAATTGAACAGCCAGTCAAGGCAAAGACTCACCAATGCAGTTGAAGGAAACTTCTTGTTGGCAGAAGAGGGAGCAGCCGTCACCGTTGATCTTATTCCTGTCGTCACACTCTTCTCCTTGGTCTCTGCACAATGGGCATAAAAGGGGGGTATCTCAAGTCAGCTGCAGAACGGAGGCTAAACACATAACGATCACGACTCACAGGGATCTTGGAACTTCTGTGAGGTCTTGCGCAAGTCTCTCTCCCTGATAGTCTGGTTCCTTGTCAAATTGAAATAAGCAGAAGGTATAGATTTGGAATACGTGATCACATTAGTCTCCGTTGTGTTTTTATGACAAAGGACAATTATGCGTCAAACCTGATCATCATGTTGGCATTTCTTGTATGCATATGCTTGTGTAAGTGTGTTGTATGCCTGCATGTGTACACACATGTATAAGAGTACCTGTATATGCATGCATACACATAGGTCCATATACACACATGGGAGCACATGTATGTGGGAGTAGGACACACCTTGGGTGTGTTGCTGCTGTCAGGAACATTGTCCAGTCTAGTTATTATACATAGTCTCCAGTTGACCTGGAACTTACTAATTAGGCGAGAATCACTGAGCAGCAATGCAGGGATGCAATTGTTTCCACCTGTCTTTTAAAGTGGGTTCTGGGGATCAAACTCAGGCCCTCATGCTAGCAAGACAAGCAATTTAGCACTGAGTGATATCTTACTTCTTCTCTGTTCTTTCTTTTTTTCTGTGGTGCTGGGCATCCAAATCTCTCACAGTCTTACATATGTACTCCCTATCCAAGGCAAATGTATTACCTCCTGAAACATCTCCCCGGCCCTTATCCTTTTAAACTTCAAGTCCTTTAAACTGATAAGACAATGGATAGCAAGATATGGAGGGATTAATTAACAGGCTTCTGTGCCTGACATATCTAATAATAATAATAGTACCAACTCACTGCTGTCTATGACATTCTTTTTAACTGTAAAGGGTGGAAATGTTGAAGATCTATTCTTGCAATTATTTCTACCACCCAATGATGATTTTGCAGAGGTTGAAAAGGGCAGAAAATGAGCATTGTCGCCCCCCCCTTCAAACTAGGCTTGGTAAGGAAAAAAAAAGCAAGATCTGGGAAACTAGATAGATTGTTGTTTTCTGGAAAGTTCCCATCCTTTTAGAAACAAAAGAGTCTTAAACTTAGAACTACATGTTCCAAAAGTAACTGCCTGATCTGAGTAAGTCCTTTGGCCTGTCCAGCTGATCTTTAATTAGTTTAAATCTATTGAAAGCAAGTGTAACTGGGTTTACATTCCTCAGTCCCAGTAGCCACATGCCAATACTCAGTTGCAGCCTATGGCTTCTGTCTACTATGTAGGATAGCACAGAACAAATATCTACCACCCCAGAAATACTGTATGATGATCCCATAGATACCCAATCCCATTTTCTCATATGCGACACTGGAAATAACGAAGCCTTCTTCATAGAGTTGGGCACAGCAATGAAGCATGATTTAAAGTGTCTAGCATGCTGGGTAGCACCTAGAAGATGCTAGAGAGCCAGTTTCCATTCCTTCTTTGCCTTGGGAGGTCCCACTAAAGTGTGTGGCAGCTGTCCCTCCCTCATCAGAGACCAGCTGGGAACTGTCACAGGATGGAATAGGTCTCAAACTTTTCCTTTTACCGGGGCAATTAACACCAGGCAATGTTTGTTGTCTTTAGGAGGTGTCAGAATAGCAGATAGAGTTTAACAATCAGTCCTTAAGATGACCTAGGACATTGTATTTATCTTCAAGGAGCCACCCAAGTTCTCTCCTGTCTGAAAAACCATGAGCTACAAGGTTTGTCCTCGTTGCTGTTCAGCATTCTCTGCCAGTGAATCTCACAGGCTTGAAATTACAAATGACCTTCAGTTTCTTAGCTTTTCCGTGGGCTATGCAGGGAGACATCGTCCCCCTAAATCTGAAACTGGTTCCCTAAGCCATGAACAATATTTGCAACTAACCTTCCATCACTACCCAAAACAGTACATTCTATTGGTTTAAGCAAAACATTAGGGTTACCACAAATATCTTCTGAGCATGATGGGCCTATCATTAGATAGAGCAGTTCTATGAAACCTTCGCCCTCTTAGGCTGGAGTGGATAGACATCAATGTCTTCATCTATCACAGAACTGACTGACTTTGACTAATACTGGAGTTCCTGTAGTAGGCTGTGATATGCCAAACGAGGAGACAGACTCTTCATCATCCCAGCAGCTTAGTGCCCACAGTGTTTGGGATGAGGGAGATGGCATGTAGCCATCCTTACACTGGCTAATTTTGTAGCCTTCTCTTCTGACATTAAAATGAAGAAATGAATTCAGATGAGAATCAGGGCCTTAGTACAAATGTTGGTTCTACTTTTTAATAGGTGGGAATGCTTGAGAAAAGTACTTTAATCTTTTTGTGTGTTATGGGCCCAATCACACATGGCTGTGGAGAGTAGTCAAGTATGTAATAATGTAATGTAGGGGGTCTCGTGTGTGGTAGAAGCTTGGTGAATGTTCACACACAGTGTTACCATCATAGTGTCCATCCAGTCTTTTCGTCGCCACACTATGTATGAAGTTGGGAGAATCTATTGCTATAGACCATTCACAACAGAGTGCTTACCCCTTAAGGGTCTTTGTGAGTGTTGTATCTGTCATTCTATTTTTTTTTATTACATTCATTCATTTAGTGTGTGAGTGCATGTGTGCTTAGGTTCTTCTGTGGAGATTGGAGGGCAACCCAGGAAAATGTGTTCTGCTTCCACCTTCTGGGTTCTGGGGAAGGCTTGGCAAAGTGGATTTCCCTGATGAGCCATACTGCCCACCCTTTTCTTCTCCCCAGCTAAACTCTAGGGAGCTACTTTCTCCTTTTTCCCTAGGACATCTGTAAGTCAGATTCATGTTTCTGCCAAGCATGAAGGAAGAGTAGCTACTCCATTGTACTAAAAGTAATCCAGATATTTGATATCCATGCAGGGCTCTGATTCTAAGTAAACAAAATTTAAAAACAACAATTAAATTATAAATGATGTTTTAAATTAATGTTGATAATGATACTTTCAGGCCACCAGAGTCTTACACTGTTTTTAGTATTCTGCAAATGCAGCTGTATATGTCTACAATATAGATAAACTGAACTATAAATTAAGGCTCAAAATCTGGACACACTGGGATTGTGATAGTTTGGATATGAATGGACCCCATAGACTCATATATCTAAGTGTATGGTCATTATGGAATGGGGCTACTTGAAAGAGATTAGGAGGTGTGCCCTTCTTGGAGAACATATATCACTGGGGGTGGGCTTTGGGGTTCAAATGCTCAAGCCAGGCCCAGTGTCTCTTACTCTTCCTGCTGCCTATGGATACAGATGTAGAACTCTTAGCTACTGCTCCAGAAGTATCTTTGCCTGCCTGCTGCCATGCTTCCTGCAATGATGACAATGGACTAAACCTCTGACCTGCAAGCCCGTCCCAGTACGATGTTTTCCTTATAAGATTTGCCATGGTCATTGGGTCTCTTCACATCAATAGAACTCCTAAGACAGTGATGAATTAGAAAATTCAAATTTACAATTATTGGCTCCTAGGAATGACTGTAGCATTTTGTGGACACCCTAGATGAACTGTGTGATCTTGGACCAGTGAACAATGGGATTTGTGGCTCTGGGATCAGTTCAACGGTTCATCAGTGACAGACTTATCAAAAGCTTGGAGCTGACGTCTCAATGTAGAGGAAACTCATAACTGATCCTTCTTTCCCTGTTCTGTTACTGGAGTTTTAAATACATACAGTCCATCATAGGTCTCACCCTCAGACATGTGTCAGCCTTCATAGTTTATAGTTGCAAATTCTTAGCAACAAGCTGATTTGTTCCATATTTCAATGTAAAAATGCTTGTATATCAATATTACTATTGATAGTTATGTTTTGAAATGATACATGGCATATATATATATATGTATATGTATGCTTCAGTAAGCCACTGGGAAATATGCAAATAATTACTGGCTTTATCCATTTTCTTATTTAAATATCACTTATTTTAAAATGGCCAAATTAATATTTTCCAGAATATCAGAGAAAAATTTGGATATCTCCTCCTGTCTTAAATATTACAAATTGATTGCATATTCTTGTGTATCAAATAACTTGATTTAATCATGAAAACACAGCTCCTTAAACATTTATCATTATTATCATTACGGCTATTATGTATGTATTAGTGGGGTTGGTTCTTCCCTGACTTTCTGTAGGTTCTGGGGATCAAAATCAAGATTACCAGACTTATTTGGCAATTTCCTTTATCTGCTGGGCAATGTTGCTAGTCCTGAAAACACAACTCTTTATTTCAGAAAAGCAAAAGTTCTTCCTAATGTAAAAAATATTTTTCCCAGGGAATATAAAGTTGGCATATTTTATTCAAATAATGAGTCAACCGTTTTGTTTAAATAAACAGAATTGTTAATAAAATGTTTTTTTAAAGATGGGACCAGGCTGGCCTCAAACTTTCTGAATGTCTGAGGCTGACCTTGAATTTCTGATCTCTACCCCTGCAACACAGGTAATTGTCACCATGCTAGATTTATATATATCTAACTCAGGGTTTTGAGCATGTTCAGCAGGAACTATACCAATGAAGCCAGGTTCTCAGTCTTGAATATGTTATTTTTAAGTTTTCAAATTGCAAATTATTACTTTTCCATGAGTCACTGACATACTTCTTTGTAGGGCAAGGGACTCTCATGAACACTACTATCCCTTTGCACGGTCGACAGAAAAGAAGGAATTAATTGAGATTCACATGTTCATATTATGACATGTATTTCTTTCAGTGACAAATCATGACCGGAAAACATATTGCTGTGCCTGGAGAAACAGCTCAATGGCTAATAGCACTGCCTACTCTGACAGAGGACTCAGCTTAAGTTCTCTGTGCCCACACTAGGCACCTCACAACTCTAGTTCCAAATGATCCATCACTCTTTCCAAGACTCTTTGCAGATACCTGGCTTACATTTGGGACACCCCCCCCACACACACAGGGACACACATACACACAGACTCACACACACACACACACACACACACACACACACACACACACACAGGACATAAATCTTTTAAAGTGACAGGATATTGCCATCAAATACCTATGTCTTTGTCAGTGGATTTTTGAGCCTGCTTGTACTGTCACAGTACAAATCTAGTCCTAGCTGTTCCTTTCTTCCCATATGGAGGTTTCCAGTTTCCATCACCTCCTATACAATCACCAGTAACAACTCAAACTGCTCTTCCTCTGCATTATTGTCAGAGACAAGCACAAGCCATAGACATACAGCACTTTCGTTTTATGTACAGACCACACCTGAGAGCTAATTCATAGGCTGCACATCAATGCTTCCATCCAATCCTGAAGCAAATGCACTCTTCACACTACCCATCCCCCAACAGAAATAGCAATTGCAATCCCGTGTTGCAAAAATATTATGTGACATCCAACAGTGCCATTTAATGAAGGAATTTGCCAATAGCTTGCTTTGCCATCTCACACATAATGCATGTGATTAACCCGGCCCATTGTTTCAGACTTTATCGATAGTGTCCCTTGCAAATAAAACACTAGCAATGGGAGCAATAAGAGACTTAATTTGAAATGATGCTCGGTCTTATCTTCATTTATATAGGAAAAAACCCCTCCATTTGTGCCAGCATCTCATTGTTTGATGCTTATTTTAGAAGGAAATCAATCAGAAGTTGATGGTAAGGCTTTATGACTTCTTGCTCCTGTTTGGCAGGCAAGGAATAGACTGAACATCCTATAATATATATGTGTGTACATAATATTTATACATACAGATTTATATTTTTCAATCATAACTTCTAGTTGGATTGAAATCCTTACACATATTGATTCGTTCACCTCAGTGTACTCATTTTCAGATTCTCTACTCACTCTAGTGTTTATTGTTTCGATATTGTATGTTACAGTACTTGGTTATGTTTGAGAGCTTTTGGGCTATTTTCAGAATTGGTGATTGCAATTTTAACAGATATAAAAGACAGCCAACAAAGAAGTATATTTTTCAGATGCTAGCATGCTTATTTAATATAAAAGCGTACTCTAAGCAGAGAAGCTGGATGAACAAAATTCTGTTTTAAAGGGGATATTGTGTGTGGTCCATATTAAAGGTGGATCAGCCCACATCCAAAGTCCAGATTAGAAGTCGGGTGGGTCTTCCACTTCAAATGATTGTGTGTGTGTGCGTGCGTGTGTAAATTCAAAAGTGACTTTAAGGAAAAAAAGGTTTTGATTTTTTTTTTGCAAGACAGGGTTTCTCTGTGTAGACCTGGCTGCCCTAGAAGAACTCCGAAGACCAGGCTCACCTTGAACTCAGAGATCGGCCTACCTCTGCCTCCCAAGTGCTGGGATTAGGGGTAAACCCATGCCTTTACTTTCAAAAACCACCAAGATGGAGAACAGATGGTTGGAAGTACATAACAGAGTCTCTGGCTAAATCGTGTATCATATACTTGAGAACTGTGGCTGAATTTTCCGCCAAGGCTAGCAGACGGCATAAAGACCAACTAGTCGGTTACCGGAGAGGATAGGGCCCTCGGAGCTTATGCACAGGAGAGCACCTCCCCTGCTCTGCTAGACAGGCAGCTTGTCCATCTCTTGACCTGGCTGCCATTTCCCCCAAACTCTTTTTCAATGGGTGGACCTACTTACTTCTGGATAATGCCATCACCACAGTACCCGCTTCCATGGGTGTATACGGCAGCCGGTGATGGCTCACTCTCCTCATTTCCTGAAATGGTGATAATCTGGTAATGGTACACACTGCCAAGTTTCAGATCCCTGGAAAATGCAAAGGAACCCATTAGTTAAAACAAGTACAGTGCTCGGGGCTTGTAGGCAGAGAATGTTGATTCCTTTGAGTACACTCTTTCAATCTACTTTTTTTTCTAAATCAAAGGCACATTTAGTAATACAATAATCTGTATTATGTACTGGGTTAAGCTTCTTTGTTAAGCACAATGGGCTACATTATAACATACAGCAATAAAAACAGCCTTTACCAGATGGATAATTGTATAGCACTAAGTGTTTGGACTTTGAACTTCATAGTTATCCTTGCAGAAGAGTTGCCGAGAGTGTGGGATCCAGGCAATGAGAGTGTGTGGGGAGAAGTGAGCCTGGTAAAAGGCTGGAAAGGCAAGCACACAGAAGATGGAGGGGGCATATCAGATCCTCTGAACATTACTGGACCATTTCCCCACCTGTAAAGACCCGTGCAGGAGCTCCTCTGCCTAAGAGAAAGCCTCTTCCTTTTGCCACATTTTCAGAGACTGACCTCTTCTCCCTGCATTCCTATCCATGACTCATACTCTTTACTTAAATAACAATAGCATTCATTAATTGAATCTTGGCCCTGGGCTATGCACTTGCTATATATTTGCTTATTTGAGAATCAAAACAATCCTACATGGGAACTCATTTTTATGTTGTTTGTATAGATGATGAATATGAGGCATAGAGAAGCCAGTTGTTTCCAATGCATGTGATTGAGTAATACCTTATATTTCGTCTCCTTTATGCCCACAGGCCTGCTTAAAACCACATCTCTTGAAGAGAGGGGTCTTGTCCTGGAAAAACAGTTCCGGAGCCTGGTACCTGCCAGACTTCCAACATGCCAACGCTGCATCTCTCTCTGGCTAAAGCATCCAGGGCCTGTCCAGGCTTCCTCACCCAGGAACCTGTCTACTGCCAACTATCCTCTAGCACAAAAGCATGTTTGTGTCAATTCTACACTGCCACATCTCCACTCATATTTTCTGACAGCATTCAAAGGGATATGCTATACTTCACTGACATTGACTTATGTGTCAATTATCCATTTTATGATAAAATGTACCATGGGAATACCCACAAAAGGTTAATGAGGAGATTCCAGAGTGAAAGGAGGAAGATGTCAGGAAATCTCAGGATTTCCTTGCAGATCTCTTTCAGCCTTCAGCTGCTCTGAAGACTGGAGCTGCTTGGATAAGGCCAATAAGGTAACAGGTGCATAGAGAACAGGCAATGAAGGTTTCCTGACACTCAGTCTAGTTATAGTTAGGAGTTTAGAGCAATGAAAGATTCCTGTGAAGGACATAACCTTGGTGAAAACCATAGATGCATTATCCCCAAAGGGAACTTGTGTTAGCAGCACTGGAGCAGCTCTTAATATTGGGGGCAAACTAAACATCCTTCAGGATTCTGCAAGAGACTGAGGATGAACATCCAGAGGGAGAGTGCAGAAATAGCTTGGAATATGGCATGGATAAGTGATGGTTTTATTGCAAACTCCCGGAATGATAGCAATAGAATACCCCTTTTATTGACTCTTACTCTATGCCTTGGCTAATGAGTGAGTCTTCGAAACTACAGTAAGAGATAGGTAAAGGTGAGAGTCTAAGAAGATACATGAAGGCATACGATAAATATGGCATGAGTTCTCCTGTAAGCTCACCAATTGTAAAATATAGAGGTACATTACAAATATGAAAACATTGTGGAACAAAATAAGGAATTTGCTTTGGGCAACATCTGGGCCACAGAAGGCATATATTCGTTGTCAGAACAGATGGAACCCTTCTGCAGAAAAACTTGCTAAAATGAACAGTGCTTCTCAAGTTGTTCTGGGTGTGCACATGCACCTGTGTTTGTCTCTGGGTGTGACACGATAAATGACTTCTAACTGAAATATCAGCCAATCTATCGTGGATGTCTTCTTTCTAACCCTACCTTGGCTTCTCTTGTAGCATTTTCATGCCATGTTTCAAAGATGTCTCAGCAATCACCAACTTGTAGGTAAGCAAGCATGTTTTTGTGTTCTGGCTTCATTGCTTTCATCCAGAAAGCCATGGGATACACACACACATAATACACATATACATATATAAAATCTGTGACTACTTCAAATTAATTGTAAGCCAGACCTCATGGCATTTTCCTGCAACTTGATTATGAGAACATAAACAGTGCACCTGTGTCCTCAGCTCATGAGGAGCAGGTAGAAAATGCTGAGCTATTATTACCAACGACAGATTAGCAACACCCTTAGTCACTGGAATTATCCTGTGGACTTCTTAATGGGGAGAGATGAAGTGTCAGATAACACATATAACCCTGGGGAGGCGAAGTCGTGAATTTGGGGCTACCTTCTGACTTTTGTACTGCAGAGTCTTGAACAGTCCATCCTGTATGGATTCATTGGAAAACACTCACTGCTAAACACCCCACTTTCCTTCAAGGTGACCTACCCTAACTTCTGAGAATTTTACAAACCAGGTCTTTCTTTACCCTGTTTCCTAATGACTTCTACCAAGTGACCCACTCAGTACCAGCATGCACAACAATCCATGGAGAAATTTTCATAGACCTTTTCCCAGTTGTGTGTCTGGCTCTTGTGTTAACCTTTTGAAGCCCAATAACAGCTAACAGAGTCAGGGGCTAATGTCCCAAGTTACCAGAAAGGGAGACAGAAGCCTGAACCATCCCTTCAGCAGCACATTTGCTGCTAACATGATTATGAATTTCCTGCAACAAAACTGCGTTTTTCTTTCATTTACCCTAAAATTAATGCCACACACGTTATTAAGAACTTAGGTATCAACCAGGCGTTGGTGGCACACTCCTTTAATCCTAGCACTCAGGAGGCAGAGACAGGCGAATCTCTGAGTTCAAAGCCAGCCTCGACTACAGAGTGAGTTCCAGTACAGACTCCAAAGCAATATGGAGAACCTTGTCTCTAAAAGAAAAAACAAACAAACAAACAGCAGCAACTTAGATACCTTTCTTTTTGAAAGATAGACTCGAGTGTGGAAGACATTGATTGTTTGGTTGAGGTTAGAATATTTGTCACAACTGGTCTAAAAGCAGGAAGCTAGTGTAAGGTCCTTTCTGTCAGCTGCTACCAAGCATGGAAGAAGCTTTAAGCTGTTTCTTGAAACCCCCTCCACCAATTCTTACTTCTAGTAGTCCTTCTTCTGCACTTCTGAAGCTTCCACAGCACCACAGAGCTTGCTACAAAGCTGAAACTTCTTTTCTTTCTTTTTTTCCCTTTTTCTTTATATCTTTTTTGGAACTAAATCATATGGATTTCATCTGAGATGTAATTATTTTATTTTGACCATTTCTGATTCCTTTCACAGAATTTGGAATGCTATTTTAAATTTATCATTAAAAACATTAATCTTTATTAATATTTAATCATCAGTTTTCAAACTCTACCTACAATTACTTTTGCATTTCCAGTTAATATATTCACAGGTAATGGATTATTTAGCTAATAGTGAGGGGCTGTCTTGTGGCTTCTTTGCATACCATTTTAAAAGTCTTTCCAAGACATAGCCATTGCTTCTGTAGAAGTGTCTCAAATGAAATATCTGCCTCAAGTTTGCAGTTTCAATTGTTGAGAAAATGCTTTCATTTCCCATTGGCATGATTTCCTCAATAGTCCTTCTTGGAGACATTATCATAAAGGTGGGTATAGTGGTTCACATACGTAATCCTAGCAATTGGAAGCCTGAGACAAGAAGATTGCCACAATTTCAAGGCTAGCTAGCTAAAGCTACCTAATTAGTGATAGACCCAGCTGGGGTATGAATTGAAAATCTGTTCTCTCTCTCTCTCTCTCTCTCTCTCTCTCTCTCTCTCTCTCTCTCTCTCTCTCTCTCCTCTCTCTCTCTCTCTCTCCCTCCCTCCCTCCCTCCCTCTCTCTCTTCTCTCTCTCTCTTCCTCTCTCTCTCCTCTTCTCTCTCTCTGTCTGTTTCTCTCTCTTTCCCCTCTTCTTTCTCTCTGTATATAAATATGTATTCAAATTTCTATTGAAAAATATGCCAAATATACAGTATAACCACACATGGAAATTGGTTAAATTTTGACATCATTATCTTAAGAAAATAAAAAAAAGAGGCCTAGGTCCTCTGCATATATGGGACAGTTGAATAGTTTGGTCTTCTTGTGGGACTCCTAAAAGTGGGGGCAAGGTCTGTCTCTGACTCTTTTAGTGGTTTTTGGGAACCTGTTCTTCAGAGTGGGTTCCCTTGCTCAGTCTTAATACAAGGGAGGTGCTTAGTCTTATTGCAACTAGATTGCCATCCTTTGTTAGTATCCATGGGAGGACTGTCCTTTTCTGAAAACAAATGGAAGACGAGTGGGTTGAGTGGGTGCAGAGGGGAGGCAGAGGGAGAGAATGGGAGGAGAGGAAGGAGAGGAAACTGTGGTCAGGCTGTAAAATGAATAAACAAATGTAAAATAAAATTTAAGGAAAGAATATAAAAACCTAGATGTCTAAGCAACCTTAGGTTTAAAGACTTAGATATTCACCTTTTCAAACGCATATGTTAAATGACTGATAAATAAGTAATATTATGGTGGGTCAGTTACTACCTATAGAAATGCATCATCAAGTCATTACAATTCCCAGAGCCTGATTTTCAAATCAGAGTGTGTTACTATTGCCCCATACGTCTATGAAAACATGGGGTGAAAAATGCGGTAGTAGGGTGGGAGGAACAGAAGACAGACCCTACTAACACTTTGGCAGCACCCTACGTGGTTTCTTTTAGGAAAAGTCTGAGCACCTTGACTATTCTTCATCAATACCCTATTGTTCCCACATCACAGCATTCATGTATCACAGTGTCTCAAGGTGGTCTCCATGTCCAAGCTGTATTTTACTTCTCTAAAACTCTACCTTTTAGATAGACAGCTGTAACTATAGTCACAATTTGTTTCTGACTTGCCAGACACGTGTTATACCTTGTGCCTATAGTTTCAATCGGAACAAATATTGCTTGAGTAATTGTTAT